TGATTTATGGCCACACTTAGGACTTGTCTATACACAGGACTTGCACCGATTCAATTAACCATTGATGAACCTATCCTCCATGAATTTATCTAATTCTTTTTTGAACCCAGTTATACTTTTGGCCTTCACAACATCTCCTGGCAATGAGTTCCACAGGTTAACAGTGCATTGTGTAAAGAAGTACTTCCTTATGTTTGTTTTAAACCGGATGCCTATTAATTTCATTGGGTGACCCTTGGTTCTTGGGTTATGTGAAGGGGTAATAACACTTCCTTATTCACTTTCTCTATACCATTCATGGTTTTATAGACCTTTATCCTATCACCCCTTAGTCATCTCTTTTCTAAGCTGAACAGTCCCAGTGTTTTTAATCTCTCCTGATATGGATCCTGTTCCACACCCTCAATCATTTTGTTGCCCTTCTCTCTGTAACTTTTCCAAGTCTAACATATCTTTTTTGACATAAGGCAATCAGAACTGCACAAAGTATTCAAGGTGTGGGTGAACCAGGGATTCATATAGTAGCATTATGATATTTTCTGTCTTATCGTCTCTTCCTTTCCTAATGGTTCCTAACATGTCAGCTTTTTTGACTGCTGCTGCACACTGAACAGATGTTTAAAGCATATGTTTTCAGAGAAGTATCCACAATGATTCCAAGATCTTTCTTGAGTGGTAACAGCTAATTTAGACCCCCATCATTTTGTACGTATAGTTGGAATTATATTTTCTAATGTGCATTACTTAGCATTTATCAATATTGAATTTCAGCTGCCATTTTGTTGCCCAGTTACCCAGTTTTGTGAGATCCCTTTGTAATTCTTTGCAGCCAGCTCTGGATTTGAGCAATTTTGTATCATCTGTAAAACGTTACCACCTTACTGTTTACCCTCTTCCAGATCATTTTTGAGTATGTTGAACAGCACAGGCCCCAATACAGATCCTTGGGGGACAATGCTATTTACCTTTTTTCCACAGTGAAAACTAACAATTTATTCCTACCCTTTGTTTCCTATCTTTTAACCAGTTTCTGATGCACGAGGGGACCTTCCTTCTTATCCTATGACTGCTTACTTTGCTTAAGAGCCTTTGTAATGGGACCTTGTCAAAATCTTTCTGAAAATTTAAATACCTTATATCAGCTGGATTACCATTGCTCACATGTTTGTTGATCCCCTTAAAGAATTCTAAAAAGAAAAGGAGTACTTGTGGCACCTTAGAGACTAACCAATTTATTTGAGCATAAGCTTTCGTGAGCTACAGCTCACAAGCTGTAGCTCACGAAAGCTTATGCTCAAATAAATTGGTTAGTCTCTAAGGTGCCACAAGTACTCCTTTTCTTTTTGCGAATACAGACTAACACGGCTGTTACTCTGAAAAGAATTCTAATAGATTGGTGAGGCATGACATACTTTTGCAAAACCCATGTTGACTCTTCCCCATCAAATCATGTTCATTTATGTGTCTGGTAGTTTCAACCAACATGCCTGGTTCTGAAATTAGGCTTACTGGCCTGTGATTGCCAGGATCTATTCTGGAGACTTTTTAAAAAATTGGAGTTACATTAGCTATCTTCTAGTCATCTGGTACAGAGGCCGATTTAAATGATGGGTGACATATCACATTTAGCGTATGAAGTTCTTCAGTTTCATATCTCAGTTTCTTCAGAACTCTTGGGTGAATACCATCTGGTCCTGGTGACTTATTACTGTTTATCTATTTGTTCCAAACCCTCTTCTATTGACACTGCAATCTGGGACACTTTCTCAGATTTGTCACCTAAAAAGAATGGCTCAGGTGTGGGACTCTCCCGCACATCCTCTGCAGTGAGACCAAAGCAAAGAATTAATTTAGCTTCTTCGCAACTGCTATGTCTTCCTTGAGTGCTCATTTAGTACCTTGATCGTCCAGTGGCCCACTGATTGATTGACAGGCTTCCTGCTTCTGATGTATTTCAAAAAATAATTGTGTGTTAGTTTTTGTGTCTTTTGCTAGTTGCTCTTCAAATTATACTTTGACACTTGACTTGATAGAGTTTATGCTCCTTTCGATTTTCCTCATTAGGATTTGATTTCCAATTTTTTCCCTCTAGCTGCCTCTTTTCCTCTGCTGTTTAGCCATGCTGGCATTTTTAGGGTCCCTAACCCTAACCCTAAGTATACCTTTATTTTGAGCCTTTATTATGGCATTTTTAATAGTTTCCATGCAGTCTGTAGGCATTTCATCCTTGCGACTGTTCCTTTTAATATCTGTTTAAACTAGCTTCCTCATTTTTGTGTAGGTCCCCTTTCTGAAGTGAAATGCTACTGTGGTTAAATGCTACTTTGGTATTTCCTCCCTACAACTATGTTAAATTTAATTACATTATGGTTGCCATTATTGAGCAGTTGAACTATATTTACTTCTTGGACCATATCTTGTGCTCCACTTAGAACTAGATCAGGAATTGACTCTCCCCTTGTAGGTTCCATGACTAGCTGCTCCAATAAACAGTTATTAATGGTGTCTAGACATTTTGTCTCTGCATCCTGTCCTGAGTTGACATATACTCAGTCAATATGGGCTTATTTGAAATCACCCATTATTATTCGGTTTTCTGTTTTTGTAATCTCTCTAATGTTCCTTGGCATTTTACAATGCCACTATTTTACAATGTCACTATCATGGACAGGTGGTCAGTGGTATATTGTTCGAGCATAGAATTTCTAACCATGGAGATTTTATGGTACAATTTGATTCTTTTAAGGATTTTTACTATATTTGACTCTATGCTTTCTTTCATGTATAGTGCCACTCGTCCTCTAGTGTGACCTACTCTGTTATTCCTATATATTTTGTACTCTGGTATTACCATGTCCCATTGATTATTATTGTTTCATCAAGTTTCTGTGATGCCTATTATATCAATATCTTCATTTTTACCAGGCACTCAAGTTCACACATCTTAGTATTGAGATATCTAGCATCTGTATACAAGCATTAATAAAATTTAACAATATTTCTCCCTGTCAGTCAGAATAAAGTCTAAAATGGCTGTCCCCCTGGTTACCTCTTCCATCTTCTGCAACAAGAAGTTGTCCACAACAGATTTCAAGAACTTACTGGACATTTTGTGTTTTGCTGCATTACTTTTCCAATAGATGTCTGGGAAGTTAAAGTCCCCATTACTACCAGTTCCTGAGTTTTGGATAACACCTTTTACCTTGATTTAGCTAGTTCAGGACAAATTAATTAAATGTGCTAACCTGAGTATACAGTATGTGAAGGTAGTTGATAGGTCAGAGTTAGCTAACGTGCTAATCCCAACACAAGCTTAACCACTTGTTCTAATCTACACATACACACTTAGGCTTGTCTACACACTGAAATTACACTGTTTTAACTACTAAATTCATGCCTTTAGCTTAAGCAGTTCAACTTTATGCATAGACCAGGCCTTACAGTAGTTACTAGATGTAAAGAAATGGTTACTCACCCTGTGCAGTAACTATGGTTCTTCAAGATGCGTGTCCCTGTGGGTGCTCCACTCTCAGTGCACTTGTGCCCACTGCACCTTTGATCGGAGATCCATTCGGCCTGTGCATGCGTTAATGAATCTCATGCTCTGTGCTCTTATATAGCACTGTGTAGGCGAACCATCCTCAGTTTGTTCTCTACCACAAAACTCCATAGCAGAGAACTCTGAAGTAGAGAGGAAGGAGGGCAGGTAGTAGAGCACCCACTGGGACACATATCTCAAAGAACAACAGTTACTGCACAGGGTGAGTAACTATTTCTTCTTCTTTGAGTAGTGTCCCTATAGGTGGTCCCCTCTAGGTGACTTCCAAGCAGCTCTCTTTAAGGAGGAGCGGGCTTTGGAGTCCAGTATTAAAGAAAGTATAGCTGAGCTCAACGCAGCACCAAAAGCTGAGCCGTGAGTTATTGCATAGTGCTCAGCAAAGGTACGTATAAAGGTCCACATCACAGCTCTACATAGTTCAATGATGGGAACATTTTTAAGAAAGGCTGGAGAAATGGAAATAAATCTTGTAGAGCGAGTTTGTATGTCTGAGGGTGCTTGGAGATTATAAGATTGGTAGCAACAACTAATGCAGTCAGATATCCACTTGGAAAGTCTATTTACAGATCTGTCTGCAATCGAAACAAACAATTTAGTCTTTCTGAAAAGTTTAGTCTGGTCAAAATAGAAGGTCATAGCTCTTCTGATATGAAGTGTGTGTAACAATTCCTCCTCTTTATCTAGGTGAGGTTTAGGATGGAAGATTGGAAGGTGAACTGGTTGGTTAATATGGAACTTGGAAGATATCTTTTGTAAAAACTTGGGGTGTGGTCATAATGTAACCTTGTCTTTAAAAAATATTGTGAAAGGAGAGTATGCCACAAGAACCTCTATTTCTCCAACTTGTTGAGCTCCCATGATAGCTATCAGAAATGCTGTCTTCATCGACAAATGGAGGAGTGAGCAGGGAGCCATCAGTTCAAATGGAGATTTTATACGATGTTTAAGAACCAGATTGAGATCCCAATCCAGAGTGGGACATTTGACTGGTGGAAAGAGAGTTCCAAGTCCTGCCTGAGGAACCTCATCCTCATTGGGTTGAGGAATACAGAATAACCTTTTATTAGAGAATCTTCTTCTGAGCATATATGCAACGTGCCTCAAGTGGCACATGACCAAAATTCATCACCAAATTTGCTCCACTGGTTGGATTGTTAGCTTCCCCAGCTTGGGCTGTGTACTGACAGGGAATGCGATGTGAACACTGATCCATGAATGGAAAGCTGTGATGGCTGAGAGGTGAACTCTAATGGAACTCAGAGACAGCCCTGAGTTTTTTATTTCTAGAATGTAGTCAAGTATATCTGATAACTATCAGGCTGTAGGTGGAATGTGTTTGAGATCACACCAGCAGGCAAATCTTGTCCATTTTTGTAAGTAAGTGTAGTGTGTAGATTGTTTTCTGCTCCGTAATAGCACTCTTTTTACTTCCTCTAAACAGGTCATCTCTAATCCTGTGAACCATCAACCAGCCTGCTTTGGGCCCAAGAACCCTAAGATTGGGGTGAAGGATCTTCCTACCTTCCTGGGAAAGGAGATGAGGAGTGGCCTGGAGAGTGATCAGTGAGTGTATGGCCAGCTGAATCAGGTAAGGAAACCAAGTTTGTCTGAGACATATCAGGACTCTTATGTCCATACAAGGTCAGAACAAAGGTCCATCTAGCCTAGTATCCTGTCTTCTGACAGTGGCCAATACCAGGTGCTTCAGAGGGAATGAACAGAACAGGTAATCGTCAAGTGATCCACTCAGCCATTATAACAATTCTGGCTTTGTCCTTTTTTATTTTGAATAGAACTTTGGATATTACAAGAGTTGGGGGATGGACGCGTACAGACCACTGCTGGTGCAAGCCATCCCCCAAGGATCGGTGACCCAGCCTGCCTCTGGAGCAGAATTGGTTGCATTTCTTGTTTACCATCATGGTGAACAGATCTATTTGAGGAGTGCCCTGTGCCAGAATATGTAGGCAAGTATGATAGAATCTATCTCCCACTCATGGTCTTGAGAGAAGTGCCTGCTGAGTGTGTCCATGGTCACATTCTAAATTCCTGGGAGGTAAGCTGCTAAAATGACAATCTGACTGCATATGCATCAGTTCCAAAGCTTGACAGCCTTGGTGCAAAGGGGGGGGATCTTGCCCCTCCTTGTTGTTTGATACAGAACATGCATGACATGCTGTCTCTCATGACCTTTATGTGTTTGCCCCTGATTAGTGGTAGAAACTGGACATGGGACGTATCTGTCTGCCCTGAGTTCCAGGAGGTTGATGTGCAGAGTGGTTTTCTGAAGCATCCACCTGCCCTGCACCATGTGGGTGTCTAGATGCACTCCCCACCTGTGACATTATCTGATTAAAATATGACCATGTAGATCATTGTTGCTACCACTGTTATATAATTACAACAAATCTTGTACAAAGTATGTCAAGTAAAGTGTCTATGGAAAGGTTATGATTTGCTGAATATGATTATGCTATTGGTATGCATGTATCATGTTTGTATTTGTAGTTATGAGTATTGGCTTTATACCTGTCTGATGTTATTGGCATAAACTGTGACCGTATAGATCATTGTTGCAACCAGGGTTCTATGGTTGCACCAGGTCTTGTACAGAGGAGGTCAAGTGGGATGTCTATGGAAAGGTTGTAGTTTGCTGGTTATGATTATGCTGTCTGTATGTGTGTATCACTTTTGCATTTCAAGTTATGAATATTGGCTATGTACTTGTATCTCAATGTGTTTGATTCTAAGTAGCCTCAGTGAAGCATTTGGTCAACTTCTTGAGAAAGGACTATTCTCAGTAAGTGCCCAATCAAGAAACAATTAACTGATAATGGACTTTGGGAGACACCTATCCACATCTGAGCTTTCCTGGGAATGTTCAAACTAACATGTAAACAATGGTGTCAGCCTGCAAACAGCTGAATCATTCATGGACATGTGACTTGCCCAGGTGGCTACAAACTCCATCTTGTTGCTGTGACTTTGCACAGAAGAACAAAGGGGTTTTCACCCACGAGAGAGAGAATTTAAAAGGCCCTGGAAGCCTCTCCATTTTGTCTTCAGCTGGCTTAAGAGATGGCCTCTCCACCCCCAAGAGATGCCTGAAAGAAACTGGAACAAAGGACAATAACTACAGGGGTGTGAGTGATTGCTGGACCCAGACTAGGAAGGAGTCCAGTCTTTGAAAGAAGCTGACTGGAACATCTCTAAGGGTGAGATTTACCTATATGCAGTTTCTTCATGTATTTGGCTTAGACTTACATGTGTTGTTTCATTTTGCTTGGTAACTTACTTTGTTCTATCTGTTATTACTTGGAACCACTTAAATCGTACTTTTTATACTTAATAAAATCACTTTTTGCTTATTAATTAATCCAGAGTAAGTAATTAACACCTGGGGGAGCAAACAGCTGTGCATATCTCTCTATCAGTGTTATAGAGGGTGCACAATTTATGAGTTTACTCTGTATAAGCTTTATATAGAGTAAAATGGATTTATTTGGGGTTTGGATCCCATTGGGAACTGGGTATCTGGGTGCTGGAGACAGGAGCACTTCTTAAAGTCTGCGGCTTTGGGGGACATGGTTCAGACCTGGGTCTGTGTTTTCAGCAGACTGACTCAATAAGGCAGGGTTCTGAAATCCCAAGCTGGCAGGGAAAACGGGCTCAGAGGTCGTTTCAGCACATCAGGTGGCAGTCCCAAGGGGGTCTCTGTGACCAAACCCATCACAACCTGTATTTCAAATATGTTTGCTCCTGTGGTAACACTCACAAGGTATTTAGCCTGCACATCTTGAAGAGACTATTCAAGCTAAGTGGCCCATCAAGGAACACTTAACTCACAATAGACCATGGAAGACGCCCATCCATGCCTGATGGACTTTCATGTGAACAACTAGAGTATGGCAAATGGTTCTGCTGTGACTAAGCGAAATCCTGCATGGACATGTGACTTGCCCATGTGACCCCAAACACCATTTTGCTACCTGTAATTTTCCACTAGCTGTGCTGAGGGCTTTGTTTGAAACAATAGATTTCCCTCCACATGGCAGAAGCTATAAAAGGCCCTGGAATCATCTCCATTTTGTCTCTTTCCTGCTCAAACCTCTGGACTATGAACTTATACTAATGGAAGCATTCTAACCAAGGGACTGAGGACCTTCCAATGATTTGGAAGCAACCAGTGACTTAACAAGCCAGCAGTTTATTCCATCACTGCTACAAAGCCTGATCCAAGAACTTTGCAAATATTGTGTGTATTTGATTCCTTTAACGAATTTTAACTCTCACCTTTCTTTTCTTTTTTTTTTTTTATAAATAAAACTTTAGATTCTAGATACTAAAGGATTGGCAACAGCGTAATTATTGGGTAAGATCTGAGTTGTATATTGACCTGGGTGTGTGGCTGGTCCTTTGGGATCAGAAGAACCTTTTATTTGATTAAATTGGTTTTAAAGAACCACTCATCTTTAAATCTAATGTTTTTGGTGGAGATACAAGGACTGGAATACCTAAGGAAACTGCAGTTCTGACTTCTTGTTAGCCAGTGTGGTGAAACAGAAGTTTACTTTTTTTGCTGGTTTGGTATATCTTAAGGGAGAATAACCACCAGTTTTGGGATGTGTTTGCCCTATTTCTCAGCAGTTTGTCCTGAATTTGGTATTCTCAGTTGTGACCCACAAAGGCACAGCTACACCACCCCAACAGTGATATATCTGTTGTTACGATAACTGCTGGGAGAAGGACAGGTGAAAGGGACTCCCACACAAACATTGTGAGGGTATTTCCACCAATTGAGAGATTCCTTTATGAAGATGGGTATGGAAAGTAGTGTAGTTAGACTGTCTCTTCTGTGACTAAACAGTCCTGAGCCACCCCCAAGGGCATCACTTTTGCAGTCTTGTATGGTCTATAATGAAAGTAGCAGCTGCCATATGCCCCAACAGCTGAAGATAGCTCTTGACTGGGAATTTGAGAAGTGATCTGGATTGTATTGACTATGTTGGATAGGGCCATGAATCTGTGAATTGGGAGGTAGGCTCTTGCCACCCTCGAATCAAGATGAGCTCCTACGAATTCTAACTTTTGCAAAGGGGTTAAGGTGGATTTTTTGAATGTTCAATTGCAGGTCCAATTTGAGAAAGAGGTCTATGGCTTTGCAAGTTGCCCATGAAGTTACATCCAGGGAGCAACCTTTCAGAGGCCAACAGTCTAGGTAAAGGAATACCAGAATTCCTTTGCTGTGGAGATGTGATGCTACTACTGACATAATCTTTGAAAAGGCCCTTGGGGCAGATGTTTGGACAAAAGAGAGCACCCTGTACTGAAAGTGGTCCTGATGGACAGTAAAACTTAGGAACCTTTTGTGGGATGGGTGGACTGCTATATGGAAATATGCATCCTGGGGTTCGAGGGCTGAGGACCAATCCCCTTGGTCCAGTGACAGAACTACTGCTGCAAGTGCCATCATTTTAAATTTTTCTGCCTTCACAAAGTGGTCTTAAATCTAGGATGGGTTGAGTTAAATCTAGGATCTAGTTGAGTGGTCTTAAATCTAGGATGGGTCTCCAACCACCATTCCTTTTGGAACTAGGAAATACCTGGAATAAAACCCCTTTCCTCTGTGCTGCATGGGAATCAGTTCTATAGCACCCAAGAGAAGAAGAAAGTCTATTTCCTGTCATAGCAGGTTCTCATGAGGGGTGTCCCTGAAGAGGGATGGGGAAGGAGGCTTGGCAGGTGGAAGAGAAATGAAGTGGACGGAGTCTCTTGTGGAGATGATCCCCAAAACCCACTTGTCCTTAGTGATAGACTCCCAATCCTGCCAGAAGTGGTAAAGGTGGTTGCTAAAGGGAAGAAGGCAGGTGGAACATTGCAGTTGGTATGAAAGGAGATGGCAGCTCAGGATCTTGACCACCACATGAAAATTGGTGCTTCAAGGTGGACGGTTGTATGGTTGAAGTTTGGGAAGTGGCTGGTTTTCTCCTCTGGAACCTGTCTCTTGCGTTGAGGTTCTTGGAATCCAAGAATTTGGTGGGGTGGGACCTCTTGGGGTCCTCTACCATATTCTAAATCTCCTTTGGAAATCCTGAGAGCTGAAGCCAGGAGGCCCTCCTCATAACTACCACCATAGAAATTGAATGAGTGGCAGTATCTGCAGCTTTGAGAGAGGCCTTCAAAGATGTTCTGGAGCCCAGTTGGCCTTCTGCAATAATTGCCTGTAATGGCTCTCTGTGTTCTGTTGGTAGAATGTATACTCAGTAAAGGAGTTCAGCTTGATATAATTCGTATGGTTGTACTTTGTCATTAACACTTGGTAATTGGCGATTCTGAACTGTAAAGTAGCAGACAAATATGATTTCCTACTGAACAGGCCAAGGCACTTATGGTCTTTATCATAGGACAGAGATTTAGCGTGATCCTGCCTTCCACATTTGTTAAGCACCTCAACCACTAAAGAGTTAAGAGACGGGTGAGAAAATAAAATTCTGAATCCTAAGAGGAATCATTATATTTTTTGTCTGCTCTCTTGCATGTGAGCGGAATTGAGGAAGGGGTCTGCAAAATAACCTTTTCAGGCTCCAAGAGGATTAAGCTGTATGAAGGATGTCAAGAAGCTTACGATGTGATTCTTTAATCTCCTCAAGAGGGAGCTGCAAAGAATCTGTGACCCTCTTAGAACTGTTTAAAATAATCAGCCAGAGATGGTGGAGGTGGCATGATCACTTCATCCAGAAATGAAAAAGAGATGTTAGCTAGTGGAGAGAGCTCTTCATCAGTCCTACCTTCCTCAAAGGGTTCTTCCTGATGTTTCAATCTCTGGGAGAGGAAGGGTGATGAAGATTGTTTATCTCTTTGATGGGAAGTGCTTGAGGCCCTAGAGAATTGCTGGTGATAGGCCAATCAAGGGTACCAGTATGGTCAAGTATATATGGCATGGGTGGAGGCATCCATGAGTGCTCATACCAGTGAGATGGCAGCTGTGGATGTCTCTCAGGAGTAAGATCAACTTCCTCAGAGACCTCTGGAAGAGAGCCTCTATAGGGATGGTGTGGAGAACCTTGGATAGATATTTGAGAGACTGAGGCAAGATCTTCAACAGAATCCTCCTCTTCCAAGTCACTCTGAAATCGTGAACCACCAGAAGAAACCTGACATGAAACTGTCCGTACTGGGCAAAAATCTGAAGATCTGGAGGTCCTCGGTACCCAGAATATATCAGAGCTGAGCAATGGTGAGTCAGGCATCTCAGACACAGCGAGGTCTCGGGAAAAGTGAAACTCCTGCAATACCAAGAGTGTTGTCGGTACTGTGTCCATGGCCTGCATCGACGCGACAGTTGGTGAGGGAGTTGACGGTACCACAAATCCCAAACGCTCCAACAGGAGTCCAGATGAAGCCAAAGGGGGCTTCTTCAATACCGAGTGAGAAGAGGAGGACCTCTTGGAGCCCGGGATTTTTTTAGTCTTTAGACTTAACTGTGCCCTTGGTATCTGAGGGGCCAGCAGTCTCATGGATACCAAACAGCTGTGGGCATCAAAGTGGCTGAAGTCATTGGAGACCTTGACACCTTTGAGGTAGATTCCCTACCTGGAGAACTCAAGAGACAGTCTTTGGGAGTCTTATGAGAAGAATCTTGGGTGTTCCTCTTAGATGCCCCTGATGAGTGCGGTTCGGAGACAGTGAAGGCAGCAGACTTTACTTTGAGACTGGCATATGAGGGGTGGGGGGAGTGTCTCCTAGCCAGCATCAGAGGCCGCACTTAGTGAGCTCTCCATCATGAGGAGTTCAAGTTTGATCTCCCTATTTTTTCTGGCTCTAGATTTTAATGTCAGACAGAAGTTGCACTTTTGGGAAATATAAGATTCCCTGAGGCAACAGATACACCGTGTGTGTCTCTCACTCACCGGGATTACCTCCTGATACAAAAGACAGTGTGTGAAACCAGGAGAAACTATATAAAAGCTATATAAATAAATAATTTTGGGGAAGAGGTTAAGTTTTTTTTTTAAACTACAACAGCTGAAACTACTACTAACTACTGCTAAGAACAACTATAATAAACTAACTACTAAAAGAGCTAAGGGGTCACAGTTCCCGTAAAACTCAAAAAGGACAACTGCTAAAGCTCCACCTCAGGCCAAGGCCGGCGAGAAGGAACTGAGAGCAGTTCGCCCATGATGTGCTATATAACAACAGCATGGAACATGAGATTAACATGCATCTTCAGGCCGAATGGACACTGCTATGAAAAATCTCCAACCAAAGGCACAGGGAGCACAAGCACACCTAGAGTGGAGCACCTACAGGGACACCACTCGAAGAAG